TTCCTTACCCATTTCTTGTAGGAGGGCTAAGGAGGTGGTACAATCCTCCATGGTACTCTGAGCAAGTTCCTTCAACTCCATATGATCCTTTAGTGCTGCGCAATGCTTTCGAAAAGGTATGACTGAAGATTTATCTTCTTTAATGTCTTAAATGTTCAGTCTTATTGCAGTTGCTGAACAGGTTTAGGAAACATGAATGTGACCTTTTTCCAGGCTGTTATAAAGAGACTAATGACTGATGTGCCTTTTGGAGTTCTCCTCTCTGGAGGATTAGACTCGTCTCTTGTTGCTGCAGTAGCATTACGTCATTTGGAAAAATCGGAAGCTGCTCGTCAATGGGGCTCACAATTGCATACATTTTGCATTGGTTTGCAGGTCTTTGAATTCAAACTTATTATCAGATTTTTTAACCTGTTGTGTGCTTTTCGGGATTCTTACCTTATATTATGTTAATCTTTTCAGGGATCGCCGGATCTTAAAGCTGGCAGAGAAGTTGCTGACTATCTTGGAACACGCCACCACGAGTTTCAGTTCACAGTTCAGGTATACAAATTCCTTGAATCAGATTCATTATCAACCATGTTTCTCCAAAAAGATGGCTTAATATCTTCTTCTTATGATAACTACAGGACGGGATCGACGCGATAGAGGAAGTCATTTACCATATAGAGACCTATGATGTGACTACTATAAGAGCTAGCACCCCAATGTTTCTTATGTCCAGAAAAATTAAATCTTTAGGTGTAAAGATGGTTCTTTCTGGGGAAGGTTCTGATGAAATTCTCGGAGGATACTTGTACTTTCATAAGGCACCCAACAAGAAGGAATTTCATGAAGAAACATGTCGAAAGGTATTTTCCTTTTCATCAGATCAAGAGCTTATTTTGCTTCTCTGTCTCCATTGCTGAATCTTGTTTATGCTTTGCTTTACCTACAGATCAAAGCTCTCCATCAATTTGATTGCTTGAGAGCCAACAAATCAACTTCTGCTTGGGGTGTTGAAGCTCGTGTGCCTTTCCTAGATAAAGAATTTATAAACGTCGCAATGAGCATCGATCCAGAGTGGAAGATGGTCAAGCCTGATATGGGGAGGATCGAGAAGTGGGTGCTACGCAATGCCTTTGATGATGAAGAGAAGCCTTATCTACCAAAGGTTTGTTTACAAAATCTGTTAGTGTTTTCTCTGTCTTTTTCCCGCAATTACACTTTATATGTTCTAACAAAAATTCCTCATCTTCTGGTGAATTCAGCACATTCTGTATAGACAGAAAGAACAGTTTAGCGATGGAGTTGGGTATAGCTGGATTGATGGTCTGAAAGATCATGCTAACAAACATGTAAGAATTGGTCATTTTTCCGATAAATGTTAGAACTTTTTGACATAAACTTGTCTCTTCTCTTGGTAAAGGTCTCTGACACTATGCTGTCAAACGCAAACTTTGTCTTCCCCGATAACACACCAATGACAAAAGAAGCTTACTACTACAGAACCATCTTTGAAAAGTTCTTCCCTAAGGTAGTCATCATAATAAATATAACAAATATTCAAAAGCCTCTCTGTTTTTTTTTTTTGGTCATATCTTCAATCTTCTCTGTTTTGTATGAGCAGAGCGCTGCAAGGGCGACTGTCCCGGGAGGTCCGAGTATAGCTTGCAGTACAGCGAAAGCTATAGAATGGGATGCAACTTGGTCAAAGAATCTTGATCCGTCAGGGCGTGCGGCTCTTGGAGTTCATGTTGCAGCTTATGAGGAAAGTAAAGCTGCCAATGCTGGATCGGATCCAGTAGGTTCTCTTCCTCAGTAGCTAGATGGGTTAAAAGAGAAGATTACAAGCGTTGCTTCTTGAGAAGAGGAGAAAACAAGCTTCGTTCTTTTTTTTTTCTTTTCAGATCCCATGAATCTCCCAAGTTCTGATACACGTTGTCTGCATTTGTACCTAAGTTTTTCTGCTTATTATTTCGTTCTTGTGTGTTTTAAGACAAATCTTGGATGCTAGATACTTCAGAGTTTGGACGTTCAATTTAATAAATCCGAATTTGTTTTATCACAAAGTTTCGGGTTAAAAAACAATTTCGGGTTTTACTTCTCTGCAAAATTTGCCTTAACAGCTTATCGAGAGACTTAATTTTACTATAATGAATGTCTATCGCAAGAAAGACTCCGTGGCCCAATGGATAAGGCGCTGGTCTACGAAACCAGAGATTCTGGGTTCGATCCCCAGCGGAGTCGGTATTAGTTTTTTTTTTGTTTTCCTTTCGGATTCATATTTATTACATATAGTTTAAAAAGACAGTTGACCTAACCTCATGAGTTGTACATCTCTAATTCTCTATGATGACATTTACGTTTTCTCTTCTTCTAATTATTTATCAAATTTATTTTTAATCCAAAATTTGAGTAGACGAAGTAACTGCTCCGCTCAGAACGCCAACCACGTGACTCCACCGTCGTTTTCTTATAACAATTATTATAATTTTTTAAAACTCATAAAATAATTAAGCAACGAAAATCTCGTTTTTTCTTATATTTATATATATTAACCATCGGTTTCTTTTGGTATAGCTACTCCGATATCATGATTTTTTTTAAATTTAACTTTTATACTTCTCAACACTACGAAGCAAAGCATAACTCATCAACATTGTTTTCCAACACATTACTATCAATTATTAATAAAAAGAAGAATAATTTTCCTAATTTTTTTTTTTAAATGACAGTTTCGTTTTGGACCTATTCTGAATAGCCAAAAAGTCCGTTCACATTCTGACTCACAATCCCAACCCACGTTTTACAAATTTATACTAGGTTCTTAAACATAATTTAGCTTGTTTTGGTATTATATCTCTTTTCAAATCTTGCTTTTGATATATCACAGCCTGGTTTGCCTATAGAAACAGTGAATCAATTATAATTTGCTTAAATCTAATTTTTACATTTTTTTCTATATCAATTTTTTTTTTTTTTAATACACCCATACAATGTACATATAGTAAATTATTCCTTAAAAATATATAAAAAAAAAACAGCTGTTAAAATTAATTATAACAAGATGTATGTCCATATTGAATTATTTATTTTATATTATTAAATGCTAGATTACAATATATCTTTTATTTCTTTTTTAAGAAAAAATATTGTGTGGGGATTAATTCCCGTTACATTATTTAAGTAAGAAGACGTGCGTCTCATTTACACATTAGAAACACCGAAAACTCAGAGATCTAACAAAAATGGCGTCTCTCAAAGTCCCAAGCAATGTTCCTCTTCCCGAAGAAGACGCCGAGCAACTCCACAAGGCATTCCAAGGTCTCCATTCATCGATTTGATCTTACAAAAAAAAAAATTTGGAATTTGATTTCATCTTCGAGGACTCTTAATCTATATAATCGGTTTAGTTATACTCATATTGATCCTTCTGTTTCTCTCCATAATCATCGTTAGTTTTTGTGTCTCTGTAGTGATTCTGTTTATTGATCTTGTTTACCTTCTTGCATTGATCTGTTTTGTTTCTTCAATCACAAGATCTGGATTGTATCTTTGTTTCTATGCATCGGTTGATTATGATGAGAGTATGGTTTGTGTTCAAATGGTTTTGAGAATGGAAAAGGAGACAACTTTATTGTTTTCTTCAGGAGATTGGTTTGGTCTGAACAAAGACATGTCTTAAAGTTTTGGTTTTTGGTCTGAAAACAGGATGGGGTACCAACGAGAAGCTGATCATATCAATTCTAGCTCACAGGAACTCAGCACAACGCAGCTTAATCCGCAGCGTTTACGCCGCTACTTACAATGAGGATCTCCTCAAGGCATTAGACAAAGAACTTTCTAGTGACTTTGAGGTTATATATATTACTCTCTTTTTTTCTTTTATTTTGAGGTAGTCATCAATAAGAGTTTGATTCTTACGGAATTTGGTGGTTTTTTGTAAACAGCGAGCTGTGATGTTGTGGACTCTTGATCCATCAGAGAGAGATGCTTATCTAGCTAAAGAATCAACCAAAATGTTCACTAAGAACAATTGGGTTCTTGTTGAAATCGCTTGCACGAGGTCTGCTCTTGATCTTTTCAAGGTCAAGCAAGCTTACCAAGCTCGATACAAGAAATCACTCGAGGAAGATGTCGCGCAACACACATCTGGAGACATCCGTAAGGTATTATATCATCAAACCGA